TAACTTGTTCACGATGTTTCTCAACTTTCACAGGAAATAAGGTAAAAAATTTTTGTATCACCCCAAATCCTATTGGTTTAAGCTCTGTTTTGGTAAATTGTGAAACTTTAGTGAGATCTTTTACCTGAAGAAGAGTGGGATTTTGGGTGGGTGGGGCATGGCATTTAAGATCTTTGTCTAGAAACAGGGAGAGCAAAGAGTGTTGCGTCTGGTCCTTAACTGAACATAGCCTCATGTTGTTGGGAAGTAATGTTACTGGTGTGGCTAGAGAAAAGGAATGAGAGAGAAGAGATAGGACAAATTACTAGAAATTTCTCTCATGCTACTAAAAAATGCCATCTTCCTGTTCTTATCACTTGAAATCTAGTAAACTAAAATTTTCTTTCCTTTCTTATTAAAAAGTTTATAAAAAACTCCATTCTCAGCTTTTCTAGTTTCAAATAGCAGTTCTATGATTATTAACATTTAACTCGCAGCATGCAAGAAAATATTTTTCTATTCCTTTCCCCCAAAAGTGTGTAATACGAAGCTGAGCTTATTTTCTTCTAAACTTCCAGATTAGTGCACCTTTAGGTTGGGAATGAGCTTGGAAGATCTGAATTTAACAGGAACTTGCCAAAGAAAGTGAAACCCTGGCATATGAAGAAAAAAATAACAAAGCAAGGAAGAGTTTCAACTCAATCATAGAGGACTAGTAAAAATACATAAAGAGGACTTGACGCTTTCTGTTAGCACAAATCCGTAAGCATAACATGCCTGGAAATTTAGGTTAGGTAAATATGGCCAAAACTGCTTACAATTTTCATCCATTTTGCTTTGGATGAAAAGATTACATTCTCCTCCTACCTCTATTTAGTAAAACCAGCTTATACTGACATGGTTTTGGGTGCCCAGGAGTAAGGATACAAAATCCCTTTACATATTCACAGCAGAATCACCTTACTGCAACACTGTGGAACACAGTAACTGTGAATCCCAGGAAAACAGCAAGAATTGCAACTCAAACTGATGCGCAGTGCTTCAGTACTATCTTAAATTGCACATTAAAATCCCAGGAGCCACAATCTTTCCTTCACCTCAGCCAGCTAGCAGCTGGATTTCCATTTATATGTGTTCTTTCATGCTCTATCAAGTTCCAGGTGATACCATTAACTTTAGCAAGGAAGCAGAGACTGGATTCTCTCACGACACGTGCCACAAATGCCTGAGGTGGAGAGAAAGTAAAATCCTGGACACCAGCAAGTCAGACAGGAAAGAAAGATGCTATTCTTTAAAGCAAAGGCACTGTAAGCTAACAGTTATTTCAGCTCTACATCCATCTATCCAGGTGCTGCTTTTGAACTGTTTCTTTGAATTCATCTATTTTGGTGGCAGAAAGACCTAGCAAGAATCAGAAGTTTAGCCTCAGAAAAGGCTGTGATAGTCCAAATTTCCCTGAAGTTAGTTTAACAATATGAGTCACTGAGCTGCCAAGACCTGGGACCTATATCTTCAAGATATCTAACCCCAAATCAACTGGGGTTTGATGACCAGTACTTTTAAAGGTTTGAGTCTGAGAACACTATGGTCTCATTCAGCACCCAGCGGCACAACAATCCGCCGCTAGCTCTAAAGGTGCTTTTGTTCACGCAGGAGACATCACTTCTCCGAGGTGTAAAAGAGCCCAGAGCCCCTAGCACGGCAGCACCTCACTGGAGCCAGCGAGCACTCTCTCTCAGCAGGGCGAGGTGGCCGGATGCGTTGCCATGGGCGCAGCCATACTGCCCTCAGTTAGTTTGGCTGATATCAGCTCTGCTGTTTCTCTAGCATGGACCACTGCATGGTGAAGACATGCTTCAAGTGAGGTCACCAGGCACTCAGGGAATGGTAGCAAAGCAAAGCTGTAACCGATGGGGAAGAAACTGAGCCAGCACGTAAATAAATGAAAGGTGGTGTGGCACTCAG